AACTGAAGCAAAGCTAAAAAAAACGTGACTTATTTATTTATTTATTTATTTATTTATTTATTTATTTATTTATTTATTGTCTGACTCTAAATGTGATAACAGGATGTGTAGATAAGCAGCAGCTGCATTTATCAACCTGAAGGTAATAAGGTATCAATGTGTTTTTATTACCATCTACTGGCTTTAAATGTTAYTGCAAGTTGAACTAATCACACTAAATATAGTATTTATTGTCAGTCAAGGGGTATGTTTTTAGATTATGTGGTATTATGCAATAGCTGTAACAGTAGCTCTGACTGTACCTGGCAGAAACATGCTGGGAAAAGCTTTTGGAGGCCTGACGGAGAACACACTGGAGGATTTTCAATATCTGCTCTCGAATCCATCCCACATCCTCCTGCACATCTGGCAGCCACTCCAGAAGTCTGCACATGGAACGCATCATTGTCAGACAACAGACATAGTAGGTATCCCCAATGAAAGCAACACGGCGCTGCAGGAGAACGGCCATTTCTGGCCAAGTCTGTATCAGAAGCAGATAAAAGGCAACTTAAAAGTTCTAAAAATCATGACTGATTCTTGTTGTAGCCCTGAGGGAGTGTAAATAGGTCCCACAGCACCTGAGGGTCAAAGACATGGCAGACTCCAGAGGGAGAGTGTAGGGCAGCATCATGGCTGAGGCCATCCGGACAGGAAGCAGGTTGCCTAGCGACTGCACCAGGCTCCGCCTCTCCATGCAGGCCTCGATGAGAGCTGCAGAGGGAGGCAAACACACAGTTATTATTACCCACCTTTTCTTCTAAGATGGTAAGAAGCCTCAGCAGACAAGTGATGTGATCTTTATTTCTGTCCTTTCTCAATAAAAGTGTTTTTCAGTCAGTAATGTTGGAAAAATGCTAATTATAGGTTATTTCTTCACAGATGTATGCATCTGTTCTGATAAGACTTCACCACTTCATCAATTAGATCTGTAAAAATTAAACCTAGAAATAATAACTTTTCTGTCTGCTTCAAATCCTAACTCTTGCATGTGAAAAGAGCATCACCAGTAGAAGGAAGTTTTACTGAAACCATTAAAAGGGTCCCTGATTAGTTGTAACATTAAACTTTATTTGATAAACATATATTTAAACTATAAAATAAAGACTGTAAAAATACTGTAGGCTGTTTAGTTTTGTAAATCTTTTAAATTATATTTTAACACGGACGGAGCCATTTTATTTACACGCAAAGCATTCTGGGTAAATGTTGACGTGGATAGGTCCTCGGTGTGAGCGAGCTATATCCACCCTGAAGGTTAATCTTGGACAATATCTGATGATCAACTCTTTTAAATGAAACCAGAGCGTTGACAGAGAGGAGAAGGTAGAAATGACTCAGCCTGTAACTGAAAATAAGGT